TTTGCAAGTTGCCCTTGGAGCACTGGTTTCCAATCTCCCCCATGTTGGGGGCAGCCAGGCTTTGTTCCCAGGCTCCCTGCTCCTTTGTGATTAGATGCCGGGTCTAAAGCAGAGCTGGTGTAGCCGGTGGACCAGGATGCAGCCCCCTGCCCCGTGCATGCTTGCTTTGCTTTCGGGCACTCGAGAGGTATTTTATTTTTCTCCTCCTTGCGGCAACTTGTGTGGCTCTGGAGACAGAGGGGCTGGGAGTGCAGGCAGCAGCTTTGCCCTGTGTCTGGGCTGTGCCCGCGGCTGGGGGGAGGCAGCAGGTCATGGACGGGGGCTGTGGGTGAGGTGGGGAGGGGTGGCAGTGTCCCTGTTCCCTTGCTCTTGCACTCTTGTGTGCTGCAAACTCCGGGGGCTGGAGGGGTTGACGCAGGCTCTTGAGTCGCCTATGGGGTGGATGGGTGCTCCTGCAATCCCCGTGCCCATGGTCTCCCCCTGTCCTGGGCTCTTTCTACCTCCTCCTGGCTGGGACCACGGGGGCTCTGCTCCCTCCAGCCCCGGAGGCCACTCACTCAGATGTGGGATGTCGGCAGAGACCCCCGTGGGCTTCCCAGGGACCCACAGCCTCCGTTGCTGGTGTCTGGGGAGGGGCAACAGCTCTGCCTCCTGCCTCTGCTGGGGATAAGGAGATGGAGGAAAGCAATGTAGGGGGGCTTTGCTGTGTCTTTTCTCCAAGGAGTGCCCTGTTCGCGCCCTGCTAGCTGGACCCTTTGGAGGTTGGGGGTACTCCTCGTCCCTTGCCAGCCAGGGATGGGGCTCAGAGGTGCTGCCTGGAAGCCAGGAGCCCCTGGGGAGGAGCAGAGGCCGGACGGAGAATGGGAGGCAGCTTGGTGATGCTCCAGGGCACGAGTTCGAGTCCTGATTGGGGACTTGTGATAAAAGTTGCTCCTGGCTGAATGGCTGGGGCCGGACACGGTGCGATGTCCATCCCTCCCTTGTTAGCTGCTGGCTGCAGCCTGTGCCATACTGGCCCAGGGGGCTGCTAGGCTTGGAGGGGCCCGTGCCCTTGGCCAGCTCCACAGCACTTGCCCCGAGATGACGCCGCAGTGCTGGAGCGGGCTGTGCCCGGGATCTGGGCTAGGGGGTGGCACCGTCTTGGATCCATCCCTGCCCTTCACAGGCAGCTGCTCCCAGGAGCAGGCATCTGAGTCCCCCCGCCTCCCTCCACCCATCTCATGAACCAGATGCAGATAATTGCATTTCTAATCTGAGCAAGCGAGTTTGGGGCTGACTCACGCGGGGCCGGACCCTGCCTGGAGAAGCATGTGGACACCACGTGGCCCCTCTTCTGGCTGGGTGGGGGCTGCAGACATGCGAAGGCTTTGGGTGGAAGGGTTAGGACTGGCTGCGGGGGGTGTGAACCTGGCAGCCGTGATCCGAATGTGTTGCCCAGCCAGGCCTTGGGGCAAAGGGACCTGCTCAAGGTTAGTCATGCCATCGGTGTCAGAGTTGGGGTCGCTCTCTGGAGCCCCCAAAGCAGGTGCAGTTCATGGCTTCTTGGTCAGAACGGGGACGTGTGGAGAGGCTTGGTCTGGGGTCTCGCTGCCTTGGTGGCCTGGCTGTGCAGGAGGGATCCCGGTTGCTTGTCGGGGGGGATGGATAGGGTCAGCCTGTGTGTGCCGTGGGGCTCTGCTCCGTGCTGAGCGCCATGCAGGATAGCAGGCAGAAGGCTCCAGGGATGCTTTGCCATCTGCTTCCTCCTTGTGCTCCTTTGCTGTCTGGCAGTCGGGAAGGGGGAGATGGCAGGTGTCTCCTGCTCTGGTGGGGCTGTTGGATGGTGCCCCTTTAATGGCTTGGGGTGCTACCCCTTGCTCTCCTCACAAGACATGTCCCCCAGCCCCCCCCCCACCATTTTCGACTCTCTCCAATGTGTCCACATCCTTCTGTAGTGGGGGGCCACAGCTGGATGCAGGACTCCAGATGTGGCCTCCCCAGTGCTGAATAGAGGGGAAGAATCGTGTCCCTCCATCTGCTGCAACGCTCCTACCCATGCAGCCCCGGATGCCCTTAGCCTTCTTGGCACAAGGGCACACTGCTGGCTCCTGTTCAGCTTCTTGTCCCCTGTCCCCCCAGGTCTCTTTCTGCACAGCTGCTGCCCAGCCCGTCACCCCCCCGCCTGCACCGGTGCAGGGGATCAACCAGAAGTTTGGTTGGCATACCCACACTTGCCATTCAAAGGGATCCACACCTCCGTTCAAAATTTTTTTAGGGACCACAAAGGTTGAAAGCCACTGCCTCCGAGCGTGGACACTTGAGGGAAGGGCTCCGTATCTGTGCATTGAAACCCGGACCCAGACCTCCAGCAATAGAAATCCCCCTTGGCTTCCTGCCTCTTAACACGTAACTCCTCTTCCCACCTTCCCTTTGCACCTGCTGTGAGAGCGCTTCGGGCAGAGCCAGCAAGGGTCCTGGCTCAGCAGATGCCAGGAGCTAACGCGATGCTGTGTTTTGTTATCCGGCTTGTTACATGCCCAGGGCTCTGTGACTTGGTTGCTGCAATTGCTGGTAAAGCAGTTGGCGCTGCCCTACTTGCAGCCAGTGAAGGCAGGGCTTGGACTGGATGTGACCCTGCAGGTCCCTGCCAGGCACGACCCCCCTGGGCGCCTGCCAGCTCCTGCCCCGTGCTCAGCCTCCCCTTCCCAAGCCAGCTGCTCTGCTTTCTGCTCCCTGCCTGATCTGCCGCTCCGCTTTTCTGCTCCCAGCTTGATGGCTGCTCTGCTTTCTGCTCCTGTCCCAGTGCTCCCTCCCTGACCTGCTGCCCTGCTTTCTGTTTCAGGTCCTGTGCTCCCTGCTGCTCCGCTTTCTGCTCCCCTGCCTGACCCGCTGCTGTTTTCTACTCCCTGCTCTGTGTTCCCTCCTTGCTCTGCTGCTCTGTTTCCTACTCCCTGCCTGATCTGCTGCTCTGCTATCTACTCCCAGAAGCTCCACCCTCTCCTTGAACACCTCCAGTGATGGAGAGTCCCTCTGCTTCCCTGGCATCTCTCTCGTGGCCTTCCTGCTGTGCCGGGGAAGAAGTGTTTCCTGATCTCCTGTTGAAACCTGCTTCGCTGCAACGTCAGGCCACTGCTCCGCGTCCTCCTCTCTGCCGTCTTGTGGCTCCTTCGTGCTGGGATGCAGCCATGCCGTGGAGGTGGCCGGGGTGATTCTCTGGGTCTGGCACAGCTGTGGCATCAAGGCTGGGATGGATGTGTTTCCGGCTGTATCAGGAGTTTTTCTCCCCGCAGCCATCGGTGCTGCAGTCTCTGCTTCTCTCTCTTGGCTCCTGTTCATCTTCTTGTCCCCTGTCCCCCCCCCCCAGGTCCTTTTCTGCAGAGCTGCTGCCCAGCCCATCACCCCCAGCCAGGGATTGCTCCGTCCTAAGTGCAGGATCTGGCGTTGCTGTTAACGGCTCGGCTTCTGCTTTAACCCAACACCGTTGTTTCAGCAGCTGGAACGTGGCACGAGGGGAAAGGGAATTATTCCCTTGGGCAAAGGCTTCCCTTGGCCGTGTCCGCTCGGCGAGCGCCGCGCTGGGAGATGAGCTGCTCGTCGCCCTGGCAGCGTGGCACGGGGCTTTTGTGTTTCCAAGGGCGCTTTTATACGCTGCCTTTGTAGCTGCTAAACAATAACGGCGAGCGGCTTCTCAGGGCCTGGGTTTCCAGCGGGAGGCTGGGAATGAGCAGGCAATTTCACTGGCAGGTTTTGCAATTGCCTTTTGTACCGTTTGACTTCGCAGGGAGGAACAACAGGCAGAACCGGTGGCAAAGACCGAGAGCGAGCGCTGGGGGCGCCTAGGTTTGGGGGCCAGAAATGTCCCATGATCTAGTCCGTGTCAGCCCCAGGCCGAGAGCTACACCTGGCCTGGAGGCAGCATTTTTTCCCTGCTGCTTCTCGGTCTTCTGGTCTGGTTCTTCCACGTCAGCTTGGGGTGGGGTTTGACCTGGTCTGTGACCGTGACCATAATGGGCGCGTTTTGCTCTTTGCTCTCCACCTGCTCTTCGCCTGATCCCCCGTCCCCTCCATGATCTGCCACACCATCCTAGCTGCGTGGGGTGTGTTGGCACCCACAGGGCATCGGTACCATCCCATCCCATCTCAGCCAAGGGCAGGCAGCACCGGCCTCTGGGCTTTTGGAGGCTTCAATCCCAGCTGGAAATTAAGATCCTGGGGTCTTGGTGAAACCAGTGGGTGAATCTCACAAGCCAAGGCAGCTCAGGGACCCCCATGCTCCAGCTTGGGGATGGGATCGGGGCGGGGGGAGCTGATGCCGATGCAGGGAATTGCCACCTCCATCTGCCCAGCTCTGCTACAGGATGCCCAAGGGGATTGGGAGCACAGCTCTGTGCCTAAGGCGCGCAGGCTTCCAGGATGCGGGGTAGGGTGGTGAAATCGCTCTCCCCAGCCCCAGCCGCATGGTCCATGCTGAGCAATGCAGCTGGAGCATCTGGGTTGGAAGCAGGCCGGGGAAGAAGAACTGGAGCACGCTGCGGGGAAGAACAACTTCCCTTTGTTAGTTTTAAACTGCCGGCCTGCTGGGTTCGTGCTGTGCCCCTCATTCTTGTCTGGTGGGAGACGGGCGATAATAAATCCCTCGCTGCTTTCTCTTCCCTATTTATTGTGTTGTCAACTCCGATCGTGGTCCCCCTCAAGCATCTCTTTTCTAAACTAACCAGGCCTGGCTTCCTATGAAATCCCCTCCATAGCTTTCATCCTCCTCGCTGCCCTTCTCTGCATCTTCTCCAGTTCTTCTCTCCTTTTGCAGCGGTGGGGACCAGAGCTGGGCATCATGTTCAAGGTGTGGCCGCCCCAGGGATTTATAACGGGGCGTCGTGATACTTCCCATTTTGTTAACAATCCCACAACACGGCTTTAGGGTCACAAGTGCTAGGGACCCTGGTGGGAAAAGCTCTGCTCCACGCACAGACTTGCAAGGTCACTGCCTTGCTGCTGCCTGCGCCTTCGTCCCGCGGCAGAGCCCACTGGTCACTTGGCCCTGGTGCTTGTTCCTGCTGCGGGGTGGCTGGGGGTTGCGGGACCCCCCAAAGGGAACGAGGTTGTGCTCACAGGCGTGTCTTCTCCCGGCAGGTGTGAAGGCGAAGGGGGGCGGGGTGCGCTTTGCCCCCAGCCACCCCCCAGAGGGAGCCCACAGCCACGTGCACTTCGACGAGAAGCTCCACGACTCGGTGGTTATGGTCACCCAGGAGAAGGATGGGAACTTCCTGGTCAAGGTGAGACCCGCGGGGGGCACGAGGCTGAGCTCGGGGTGTCTGCGCGGGGAGATGGAGCAGCGTGGTAGCTTGTAGAGTCTCCGTTACAAAGGGCCTTAGCCCCCAAATCAAGTAGCTTTAATGGGGGCCCCCTCTGGCCAGCAGGAAGTCAGGCACATAACACCACGTTTTCTCACCTACAACACAAACCTCTTCCAAAAATGGGCTGTGGGAAATTTGGGTGTGCGTTGTAAACCAGGAAATACGGTGATAACCTTTTCTGCTGTTTAAGCCCCAAGGATGGGAGAAAGGAAAGATGCTCCGGGGAGAGCAGCACAGCGAACATGCCGGGGTCCTTAGCTGCTACCTCTCAGTTACCTATTGCGACTTACCAGTATTTTCAAGGAAAGATATTTCCACCCCACTCTTCATTTTACCCTTCAAAAAAATAAGGCGCGTGTCTTATTTGAGGACATGTCATATGCAACGAAGTGCAGTCCTGTGATAAGACTCTTGCCCTCCATCCCACCCTGCAGCTTCAATAGCTTTCACAGTATATCTAGACACTGGAAAGGGGCTGTTTAGGGGCGTGCGGTGCCTTCTGGGGGAAACTGAGGCACGGGGTTTCAGTGATTTGCCCCAGGCCATGCTGTAGTTCAGTGTGTGGGGTGGGGAGGGACCTTTGTAAAAGGAGGGCCAGTATGACAGCTGGAGAGGGATCTGAGGGTGAGTGGATGGAGAGAGCAGGATGGGAACGATGTCTTTTAGGGCAGCGGAGGAGCCAGAAGGACCTCCCCAGGGCACCGGCTCTTCTGTGCAGGCTCCCTCAGCCCTGCTGCTGCCGGTTTCTTGGGGGGGGTTTCTCCAAGCGTGGTCCCTTTGGGAGGCTGGGGCATGTGGCTGTGCTAGGATGGCCCCTTTGCCTATCTGGAGGGGGGCAGAGACCCTGGTTGGATGCTGGCAGGATGCTGAGGGTGGTTTCTTGCTGCTGTGGGTGAGCGCTCGCCAGCCTCCTGTGGGGAAATGAGCTGGCCGAGAGCGGCTGTGCTGGGTCACACGAGGGAAGGGCGGTGCTGGGAAGGGGGGCAATGAACTATTAAAGCAGGGGCCTTTCTATGGCCACTTGCTCAGCTATGGGAGCTGATGCACCGAACTACCTGCAAGGTCTCCCACCATTGTCATAGCATCCAAGCCGCCCCAGCCCTCAGCGTGGTCGTCCTGCAGGAGGGAACTCGCTGCTGTCCTCTCTACGGTCAGGCGGCGGGTGAAGGGACTTGCCAAAGGTCAGGCATGGCAGTAGTGGCAGAGCTGGGAGCTTGACCCCCTCTCCAGTTTGCCTGAATCCCCATGCAGTGCCTTGCGCAGGGGGCAGTTCTTCTTTCAGCGCCCGTAACCCTTCCCAAAGGGACTCTGGCGTGTCAGCCCTCCCACTTCGTTTGTCTCCAGTTGATGTGGCTTGATGGATGGACAAGGACAACTGAGGTGCTGCTGCAGCCCAGGCTGGGGATGGGGCTGGGCTGTGCCAGTGCTCCTGTTGGCACCAACCCTGCAGGGTCCTGGCTGGACGGTCTTGCCCCTGCACCCACACTGCACTGGGGCAGGAAGGGATTTCCCCCCCTGCTCAGACTGATCTTACTGGGGAGTTTTGCCTTCCTCTGCAGCAGGGGCCTGGCCTGGTCTGGGGTCTCTGGAGCATCTGTTAACCCTCTTGGCAGCAGCAGGATGTTGGCAGCCGCGGCCCCCCTGTATCCCGGGGCGGGGGCGATGCCTGGGGCTATGTCGGGGGTGACTGTGTCATCTTGGACACGGGGTTTGTCTGGGCTGGTTTGGACGGGGCTGATCCTGCAGGTCCCTGCCAGCCCTACGGTTCACTGAATGCTGCCAGCGCACGTGCAGTGCTGGATCGTCTGCCAGCAGCCGCATCCCCCCGGCGTGCAGCATCGATGGCGAGTGGCAGTCCAACCTCAAGCCGTTCTTTGCCTTTTTAGAGAGACCATCAGCTTTTCCTCCCCCTGCCCTGCTCCCCGAGCTCTCTTCCTCCTGCCCCGTCATCTTCCTCCTCTGGTGCAGCGGGACCTGGCGGTGCCTGCACCTTCCACTTGTTTTCGCTTCCCGGTTTTAATGCGTCTGGCACCTTCAGTTCCCTCATAGTGCCTTGACCCTTGCAGGGCTGGCCGCTGGACTATCTGCTCGGGGATCTGTCGCTGTGTGGCCTGCCTCATCGCCGATATCCCATTTACGGTTTGTTTTGGCGCTGCTCAGGCCCTAGGCTGCCTGTGATTAGTCTTCAGGTGGAAGAAGGTGGGCAAAAATACTGCTTTCTTCTCTAAGAAGAAGCAGGGGGGGGTCTCCTCTTCTTGGCCAGGCCCCTAATGCTCTTCCCCACATCCTGACAGAGCAGAGGGCGACTGCAGCTTCAGGAGCATTCAGCGCTCTCCCGGGCCAAGCAAGCACCCAAGCAGAGCTGGGAGGCGCTATCCTGCCTCGTGGATAACACGGGACTTGGGGTGCGCGTCCTGGCTCCACCCCGCAGTCATTAACTGCGCCGTGCCTCAGTTTCCCCAGGTGTGAAGCACGGAAGGAAAGCCATTGGGGGCTGGGAAAAGTGAGGGGACGCTAGGGGCAGGAGGGGATCTTCCCCCTGCTCAGACTGGTCCAGACTGGGGTGGGGGTTGCCTTCCTTTGCAGCGGGGGCACAGCCTTGGCTTGGGGTCTCTGCAGCACCCAAAGGAAAGCCTTTACTGGCGCACGTGTGCGTTATACATCTCTCCTGCTGGCCCTGCGCGCTCGTGTTTATCGCTGGACTCCAGACTTTGCTCTCATGAATTCCTGTAATTCATATTGGCAAATGGGTCTCTCAATAGCTTTGACCCACTAATAAAACCATCTGGTTTTGCATGCGTGCGTTTTGCATCGCTTGCAGCAACTGGCAGCCGTGAATGGATCCAAGGGCCTCATCTTAGCTTAGTGATTCCCAGCCAGAGTGCCAAGAGAGCCTTTCGAGGGTGCTGTGCAAGGTGAGCAGTACTGGGTGTGCAAACACCTGCACGTGGTTCACAGGATAAACCCAGCAGGGATCCAGAGCGGCAGAAGTGCTCTGCCTTGTTGCATCTTGCCAAGGTCTTTGCAACAGCCCAATTGCTGTAATGTTTTTCCCTAGGCAAGAAACAAGGGGAAGCAAAGAACTGGCGTTTTTTGGCAGGGTCGGGAGTCCGAGGAGCTTGTGAACCACCGTGCTAGCCAGGTGCAAGCCTCTGCGCTGAGTCTCTTCCTGGGTCTGGATGATGAGCTTAGATGAAGCGTTGGGTGTGGTGTGGTTGGAACGCGTTGCTCGCCTCTCTCGACATTTCTAGTTTTACCTGTCTTTCTCCCTTCCTCCATCAGCCTGGACGGCTCATAAGATGCAGCTATTAATATATATCTGAGAGATCAAAGGCAGAGGCTGTGCCCCTGCTGCAGAGCAAGGCAAACCCCCCCAGTGCGGACCAGTCTGAGGAGGAGGGAAATCCCTTCCTACCCCCAGTGCAGCGTGGGGCTGAGCCTGAGCGCAGGAGCAAGACCCTCCAGCCAGGACCCTGCGGGGTTGGTGCCAGCAGGAGCCCCATCCCCAGCCTGGGCTGCAGCACCCAGCACCTCTGAGAGAGCTGTATAAAAACCCCAACACATGGAGCAGCAGAGGGGGAATAAATTTCCATCCTCAACCCATGCTGCAACCAGGAAAGCCCAGAAGCCTGGGACATGCCCATAGTGGAGTATAACACCCATAGTAGGACCATTGCAATCAAAAGCAAACCTCATTAGAATTATCTGGGTATGCATATTGCTAGCTAATGAAGAAGACAAAAAAGAAAGACCTACAAAGGATGGAGGACGGGATCCACCTCCAAGGAGGAATACTCTGCACTGGTCTGGACCTGCAGGGAGCGAACCAGTAAAGCCAAGGCTGGGACTGAACTCCAACTAGCTTCGAGTATCAGGGACAATAAAAAGTCCTTTTTCAGATATGTGGGGAGCCGGAGGAAAAGCAAGGGCAACATTGGACCCTGCTAAACCAGATGGGGCAACTGACAACTGATGCCCAGGAAAAAGCCAACTTCCCCAAATGGGTACTTTGCGTCGGACTTTCACCAGTCCCATGGGACGCCGCAGCCCATTATGGGATGGGATGGGACAGGATGGCCTAGGTGAGGGAGACTCCTTGCCCTCCATGAAAGCTGACCTTGTGAAGGAACACCTTGAGAGGCTGGACACCTTCAAGTCAGCCGTCCCTGACGTTTTACACCCCAGGGTACTCGGGGACCTGGCAAGCATCATAGCCCAGCCCCCGGCACGGGTCTTCGAGAGCTCCTGGCGCTCTGGTGTAGTGCCCGAAGACTGGAAGAAGGCCAATGTGGTGCCTGTCTTCAAGAAAGGGAGGAAAGTGGATCCAGCTAACTACAGGCTCATCAGCCTGATCTCTGTCCCGGGGAAGGTCTTGGAAAAGATTATTAAAGAGGCCATCCTTAACGGACTGGCTGATGGCAACATCCTGAGGGATAGCCAGCACGGGTTTGTTGCGGGTTGATCTTGCTTGACCAATCTCATTTCCTTCTACGACCAGGTGACCTATCACCTGGACAAGGGAGAGGAGATTGATGTCATATATCTTGACTTCAAAAAAGCCTTCGATCTGGTATCCCATGATCACCTCTTGGCAAAAATGGCCAATTGTGGCCTTGGGTCCACCATGATCCGCTGGCTGGGGAATTGGCTCCGTGGTCAGACCCAGAGGGTGGTGGTCGATGGAAGTCAATCGTTGTGGTGCCCTGTGACCAGTGGGGTCCCCCAGGGCTCTGTCCTTGGACCCATACTGTTCAACATCTTCATCCATGATATGGACATTGGTGTCAGAAGCGGGCTGGCCAAGTTCACCAATGATACCAAACTTTGGGGTAAAGCATCCACACCTGAGGGCAGGAGAGTGATTCAGGCTGACCTGGACAGGTTCAGGAAATGGGCAGACAAGAATCTGATGGTGTTCA